TGTACCTCATGTTCCTTTGTGAGTAGACTTTGAAGCCAAAATTATTTGTATTTCTCAAATGATGACATATCTTAGTGCAGTAATGACAAGAAAATCAATGAAAAACACAGTGGCTGTCTTTGTTGTTGTTGACGATGTGAAGTTTGTTATCGTACAATGACTTATTAGCAATGGAAAGCCTCTTGTACGCGGATCAAAACTAACTGACTGAACTGGATTAATTTTCTCTGGGTAGTATGCTTTGTCGGCTTTCACTCCCATGTAGAGCTTCAGAAAGGACTTCACTGCAGTTGTGAAACTGCGAAGTAGATGTTGAGCGTGATATTTATAGTTAATTATTTTGGAAATACTTTTATTGAATAAATACATGATAACAATATTTTAGTATTTGTTAAATCATTGCTAAAAACTTTTGAGTGTATAGACCGACCAATTTGTGGTTTGCTTTGTCTTTTTGGAGTGACCCTCTGACACAATCTTGTCCAGCTCACTGTTTGAAAGTGATGCAAATMTTGACGTTTTATTACTAGGCTGATCAAATGACAACTCTATACTAAATGTCGGAGATTGATGAGTATTTTCGCTAGTTTTTTCAGTCATTTTCAGTTATCTTTTCTAGATAAATTGTCAGCAAAAATTTTTTTTTCGCCGAAGCAAATAAAGCTGTAGCCTGCATTCCTTCATATCAATGCATCAATGCATTCCTTCATAACTGGAGGGAGGGTACATGATTTAATAGTAGTACTCTTTATGATGTCTGACAGTTCTACACTGGTGATTGTTTGGAATTACTAAAGTTTTGCACCATGATAGATGGACTCGAACTTAGGAATAATGAGCGCAGCTTTCCTGGATGTGATGCCAGCGCTTATCTTTAGTGATTTTGCTTGAAAAGAACTCTACAAAATCGTCAGCTAATTGTGAAGAGTCATCATGTGAAGGTAGTTTTCGATCAGTTTTCGCTGCGTGATATTTATCTTTTCAACACTCGAAGATTTCGTATCTCCGCGCGCCCATGTGATATCTTCTATTTATTTCATAGCCAAATAAGCGATATAAATTCGTTAGAAATATGTTTAAAGGATTATTTGTTTTTCTCTAACCGTTCTGCAGTTCTCAAACTCTCCATTATCTTGCATTATTGATTATATTCTTCAAATATTGTCTTTTTAAATATCCAAACCAGTGAAGTGGAACTGTGAAACTCGGTTAGTAAAAGGATTCAATACTTAGCGAAAAGTATTTACGGCCAAAGTTACCAGCTCTATTACCGTGCGTAGTATTTTATCGATATATTTATGTATATGCCTTCAATATTAAGTAGAGACTGAAAGCCGTATTTTCCTTCAGGCTCTACTAACCCACGCGATTGAAGCTAAAATACTACTGACGACTGAGTAGCTGTATTAATATCTGAATTACRATCCTAAAAATCTTCTTTTACTGCTCAATTATATTACAAAGCCCGGAATTACATCCTCAGCTGCTAAGCCAATCTATGAACCCAGAATCTATAAACACGGATTAGAATGCACTTTTTGCGAGAGGGGAAAGACAAAAACAAGAAGCTGTAAGAGAGTACACTGGGTTGCCTGGCGGGTGGGATAGCTTCGAAACGTCAGAGCGCTGTTATGTTAGTACAGTGTGCTGGACGAAATACGAAACAGCTGATGTGGGATACCCTACCAAAATGTAGTGTAATGCGCATGGTCGAATTTAAATTATAGCTTAAGTTTGCGCAGTAGAGGGAGGTGGGGCTAAAAGACATGGGTTGCGTTACACAATTTTAAACTTCTTAAGGACGTTCAAGGGTATTGTTAGCGCGCATCCCTTCTACGCATGAATTTAGAGAGCGCGCGGTCATCGTTATGACGTCATCCCAATGTTTTGATAAGCAAAATCCCATAAAAGTTGACGTCTGTAATATCTTATAGCTTTAAAACGAAGTCGGCCGCCCCCTTTTTATTTCATTTTTTGAAAATACTTCGTAATACCTAACTTTAGAGGAAAAATTTAAAAAATCTGACGATGGGATGAAATCGAAACCAAAATGACTCAGCACTTAGTGAGTGTATTTCACTCAGAAAATTTTTATTCAATCGCCGAAATAAGACGAGCTTTTCTACAAATTCCTTTACTTATGCTGCACGTCAAAGCTTTGAGTTTAGCTTCTGGTTTTTGATTGACCGACTTTGATATCAATCAAACCGTGGAACACAAATAAACAGCGTTGTGTTACGCATGACACACTACTTATCAATTTTACCTAGCTTGCCACGACYGTATAAATCAGCTTATGAGCATAACTGGGCAGATCGCTCTTTCTGAAGTTCTTCGTAAAACACGTAGGCATAGACATCATACATAGGTAACAAAGGCATAATCTTAATTTTTCATCTAATATCTGAAACCTGATGAGAGGAAGAAATCCATCTTACTGACCGGAGCAACCGCAGCCAGAATGGATCTCAAACAGTACAAGTCGGCATGTACATCCACAACACATACACAGGACGCCGGGCGAAGTGTTAAAAATAAGTAAAAGTGGTACGAGGTTGGGGGTGGGGTAGGGAATAAATACGAAATAATAAATACTATACTCCGAATTCTTTCCGCCGAGGAATGCGTTGAAATTCTCATCGTATTACTGCTATACCATCAACTTCAAGGCATTAAAAGTAGAAAATATTTATTTGTTCATCAAATTCAAAGCTATTTTTTGGCGATTCCGGGTTTTAGTATTTCGTGCGATTATTCCGGATTCCGGGTTCCGTTGCGGATTCCGAAATCCGTGTTTTAGGCAAACCCAGGTCAGTATTTCACTCATAAAATATTCATTTTCTCACTCAAATAAGCCAACTTTTTCTACGAATTCCCTTAGAAATATCATTCTGCTCGTCTTTATTCGGGTTTGTATATCACTGGTTGTTTTTATAGAGCAAGTCTTCGAGTTGTTGAACGAGACGGCGTTTATGGTCTGATATCGATAAAAGCCTAGTTAAGAGTTCATTGAGAAACACTTGCTTTATCTTCGTTTTGCCTTCGACTTTACTACTCAAGTGAAGCATGTTGAAGGTCGAGTATCCCCCAGGCCTTAACGCAAGCGAAACAAGAAGCACGGTATAAAAGGCAGTATATATGCACGCATYAAATAAAATGTTAAACACTTTCTGTACAATATTTGTTGTCACTTGTCGTTTTATGTTGCACGAAGAAATAGTGTTTTAAAGTTTATTTGCATGCAAAGGGCTGTTCGTTTTAGCGGCATTAAATCCGCAGGAGGCATCCATGCAAAGAACATGTGGCCCGAGGAGCTTCGGTCTTGTCGAGTCCAGCTAGCTGATGCTTTGTCTAGTCTTGTTTCAATGATAGAACATCAGCAGGAGGTAAAACGATTCGAGCTGAACCGCAAACTGAATAAAGGCCTGGGCATTACTGTCAACAAATGCAATGAAAATTCAGGATTAATGCAAATTTGGCAGTGATTTGGCAGCGTTTTCGTCATTCTTCAACGAGGACCGCCATTCACAGAACTTAGTGCAGCCTTTGCTGCTCATTGAGATTACATACGGACTTGCACGTTGTTGGTAATGGCCATGGTCCCTAAGGTATTATCTTGAAGGTATTATTACACCTTTTACTGYTCATTAACAGAAAATGTACATTCATTTGTGCCAATAGTTGTATCAATATAAACGTGTAATGTACTTTCATCAACACCACAAGTAACATCATTAGCGCGGATCACCTCCTAATAACGATATTTGAATATGCGTGTACATTCATAGGCATCATTGGACAATCAATAGCGCGTTCGTACATTCATATGCGCGGAATGTATTTTCTTGTGCGCGGGATTAAACTTCAATAACACGACAAACAATTGCATTTATGGACAATCATTATGGACATCAAGTGAAAATTCACTAGTTCTATTAGCATAACCATTGACAATCTATAACGCGTTTAGTGGACAATCCGTGAGCATCAATGTACCATTCATTAAAGTGTATATCAAGGAAATTTTTTTTCTTTCAAAATCACTTATATGTAAATAGTGTATTAGTATGGTTACAGTATTTTGTATGTAAAATTTTCTTTTACGAGATATAAACATTTGAAATATCAGTATGCCAATGAGACTACGTAAATTCAGTACCAATTTATTATTCCAATATGCTTTTGCGGAAGTACTGCTGTTTCAGTTCATTCGCTGGGAACGTACTCCACAATATAAAGGTAAGCGGCGAAAATAATATCTTTAGAAGCTATACTATGACACCATCAATCAAGGCAACAACTCGCTTTTAATGTTTTCTCTAAAATAAAATTACGGGCAGCTTTGCTTTGAGAAGTTAGAGCGACGAAGTCACGAAACGAAATGGAATGCTGAACGAGCGGCGTGGCTTGGAAGAAATCATAACAATATAACAAGTCTGTTATAAACTAAGGTTGGGTTTGAGCCGAAGTCACTTAACTCTTGCAATAGATATTAAACTAATACACATTAAGAGACCCTAATTCGTTGTTTTCTTTCGTGTCTATTTGACTAGAGTGAAGTCACTAAACCCGTGCAATAGATGTTAGACTAATACACATTAAAAGACCATAGTTCCATTGCTTTATTTCGTGTCTATTTGACTAGAGTGAAGTCACTAAACCCGTGCAATAGATATTAGACTAATACACATTAAAAGGCCCTAGTTCCATTGCTTTATTTCGTGTCTATTTGACTAGAAAAAAACCGTGCATTAGATGTTAGACTAATACACATTAAAAGGCCCTAGTTCCATTGCTTTCTTTCGTGTCTATTTGTCTAGAGTGAAGTCACTAAACCCGTGCAATAGAT